ATATTTTTTACTCTAAAAAGGAAGTTTGCTGTATTATAAATTCGCTATAAAGATTCCTAGCAGCTCGGGTTATATATACAAACAACGGTTTCTATTGGGCCATATAACCTGTCAAAAAGGTTTATAAAGAATTTATAGTACAGCAAAGTGACAGGTTATATGGCCCTATAGAAACGGTTGTTTGTATATATATATATAACCAGAGTTGCTAGGAGTATTTATAACGAATTTATAATTCGTATATATAGGGCCATATAACCTGTCAAAAAAAGTTTATAAAGAATTTATAATACATCAAAGTGACAGGTTATATGGCCCTTTATAAACGAATGTTTGCAATATAACCGTTTAAATAGGGCCATAGAACCTGCCAAAAAGGTTTAAAACTAAAAGTGTAGTTAGCTTAGAGAAATACTCAGATATCAGTAACTTTTTGTTTCTCTCAACATTATAAATAAGTTTTTAAACAACCTATGAATGAGAAATTCGACAAGGATCTAATCTAATCTAATCACCTCAAAATCAAATTGGGGTTGTCTTCTGGACATGGGCAATGTCTCCACCTAGTTAAACAAACCTTGGCTTATATTTTGTCAAATTATTGACTGAATAAAGATTTTATACTAGGTTTCAGTGTGCCATTGATCTATGACCGAATGACCTCAAAATCAATAAAGGTCATCGACTAATCATCCGTTTCACAAAATTTGGTTCATAACTTCGGGACAAAGACTTTACATTAAGTATCACTGTGACCTTGACATTTGACCTAATGACCTCATAACATTTTTAGGAACCATGCATCTAATGGCCACAGCCGATGTCCCTTCCCAGTTACCAATCTCAACGCAGTAATCTCCCCTTAAATCTTCGGCGTAGTAAGTGTACTTATAAAGGGAAGTAACCGCTGCGAGGAGTTTGCCAAGTTACATGTACCAACTGCATAATTTATTATATACTCAACATCACTAATTCCGCGTCATCACTTATTTCACGATAATGGCATATTTTTATATAACCAGTAATAAAATTGGTCAAAATTGACATATTTTATTCAAACACCTGAACAACAATGTTTTTGTGCAAAATATTTTAAATCTATAGATTTTTACGTAAAACAGAACATTTTACAAAATTCTGCAAAAAGCAACAATAGACCGTTAAATTTGTGCATACGTCTGAAACAATCATCATTTTCTAAATGTTCTTCTTTGTTGTAAAAATAAATTTTGATTTACAATGTAATTTAAAATTATGGAAAATAATATGTAGAAATTTTAACTGAAACATGAAAAAACTGAAATAAAACACCATTACCGCGATTTAAATGTTGACATACTGTTTTCAAAATGGCCGACATACGGTCTACGTCTGGCTCATTTAGACTGATTTTGACTAAATATATTGTTGTTTCCTTGTGTCATACAGCAGAATATACCTATTTATTATATACTTATAAATGAAATATTGAGAAATATTGATGAAATAAAATGCATATTTTCATTTTCTGTATTTTCACTGTAAAAAATTATTTTTCACTGCAGTGAAACATATTTTCCGTATTTTCACTGGTGTCTCGCCGGACTACTTTCTTTTAAATTCTGCCAGTACACAAAATTTAATGGAAAGTCTTTCAAATTTTATCGCAAAAAAAGAGAAAAATGTATATAATAAACAGAAAATTCAAGTTTTTTCTATAAATACATGATTTATTTTCATCTTGTGGCATGAAAATTATCATATTTCACTCGTGGCTACCGCCACTAATGAAATATTTATTTTCATACCACTCGATGAAAATAAATCATGTATTTATAGAAAAAACTTGAATATCCTCTATATATGTTACAGCTTATGACAATTTTTGTACCATAAGTTTTATGTGTTGTTTTCTTTCTTGCTTCAAAGTGTTAAGTACCGTGAACTAAAAGGAGCACAGTATACATTCTCAAGAAATTGATCTTATAAGTATAATATGACGTAGGTAGACTTACTACCCAATCACAGTTTGCTTCCCAATTTTGATTTTTTTTAAAGTTAAAAAAGCCTAATGTCATTTTTTTGACATAGAAACTCCTAACTATATACAATTTTATACCAACCGGAAGGACTGGAATGTAACATGGCGGTCATATCAAATTTGAAGCAATTCTACCACACACACACGCACGCACACACACACAATTAAGATTACATTTATTTAACACATACAACTCTTTCATACTGATAAAAATAGAATCTTAAGTTAAATTTGGCATTCGTTTAATTTTCATTTAAATTATACACGGTTTACACCATATACATGTATGCTCATCCGTATCACTTAGTTTTATCAAAATTATTTCTGTTCGGAAAAAGTTTTACATTAGATTTTGCAGAATTATATGAATAAAGTTGACTGAATACAATTCTTTAAATAATAAATTAAAGCACACTGAGTATTAGACCCGAGCATATTATGTCGTAGTGGGCTTGGTACGATAAATATGTTTATTCGAATCACGTGCTTAACATGCGCACTTCGTTTTCGTTTATTATATCAAGATTCAAATCAAAAACTCGTCATCGTCTTCATGACCGGGGTCCGGTGGTTGGAATATATCATTCTCGTCATCTGATATTTCAACATTGACATCAATGATGTTGTGAAAATTCAAGATGTCTGCGTCATCACCGCCATTTTGAAAATCGTCTGCTTGACCCTCGTCATCAATAGTGATTGTGCTTCCACCAATGCTTGAACCGAACTCATTCGGGCCGACGTGCACGTATTCCACCACGTTTGTAAGCAGACGTTCTTTTTCTTGGTCAATTCTGTGCCAGTCGTCACTTGATAGACCCGGAATAGTTAAGTTTATTGACGTCAGTGCTTGAACAAGAAAGAAAATTATAAACATAATGATTGCATCGGTCAAATCAGTATTTTTTAACAATTTCTCAAACAGTCAATTACCAACAGGCTAATACAGATTTAAATTTGCAAATCTCTATGAGAGGGAGGTATATTGACGGTAAAGACAATCCAAATAAAGAAAAGGTCTTTCACTGGAGAAAACAATGTTTGTATATTTGTGTTAAACCGGAAAAAAGTCTGTAATTATACTTAATATAGAGAATATTGAATGAGTGTAAGGTCAATATTGAACGAGTTGAATAAAATCATATCATAATCATGCAAGCCTCTGGTGTAACACTAACATAGCAAATGACGTCACGGCCGTACAATACCGTTTTATGGAGTCGAAAAAAGAGTATGAGTATGTCATAAAACTTAATATTATAACAATCTTATAATAATATAGATTACCGAGTTTTCCTTGATGCTGAAGCTTCATGATATTGATCACTGTATCCGCCGACAATCGTGCTTGGATACACAGATCTTTGATTCGTCGACATTTTCGCAACAAAAATAGCAGGTCGTAATCTATATGCTCATGATGTTCAAAGAACATAGCAAAATTCTCTGAAATAAATGTATAAATGAGCCGTGTCATGACAAAACCAACACAATGGGTTTGCGACCAGCATGGATCCAGACCAGCCTGCGCATCCGCTCAGTCTGATCAGGATCCATGCTGTTCGCTATCTGTAACTCTACTTGTAATAGGGTTGGTAAGCGAACAGCATGGATCCTGATCAGACTACGCGGATGCGCAGGCTTGTCTGGATCCATGCTGGTCGCAAACCCATTATGTTGGTTTTGTCGTGACGCGGCTCAAATCATAGTGAGTCATGTGTATGAGTAAACGCTGGCCACACCTATATCGGCAAGGCCAAGGGAGGGGTTAGGGAGTATTAATACGGTCCCCTTTGGATTTGGCTTGTATGTGGAACTCTTCTGATGTTTTGATATTAAATTAGCAAAAACTTGACACATGACTCCCCCACACCGCCTGAAAAATGAGTAAAATACCAAAACCCCTCTGGAATATTAACCCTGGCCAATCTGGTAAAAAGAATCCTTCATCTGTGTCTGGCCAGTCTGCACGCCTATCTTTTGACCAATCATGTACTCACTATATGATTGTTGGCTTCTAAAGTACATGTATAGCGCTTTTATTATAAAACAAAGGGTAATTCCTATACAATGCAGAGCACATCCATCACAGGCATTTTGCATATTAATAAAGATATACTATAAATATGTTTGGGAAGCTGCATTCCCTGTTACTTGTAAAATTTAAATGGCCGACACGATGTAATCACACTTGGATTACCTGTAGTGTGTAGAATTTAAAACAAAACACATCTTCTTTGTGTGTATTCAAAAAATGTTATCGTACATTTTAAAAGAGATTGTCTAGTAATTATCAGTTTTTGTTTTTTTCAAATATCAAACTTGAGCATAATATGTCTTTTAGTGTCAATATTATTTAGACTTCGTTGATTCCACTTTTTTAAGAAGATGATTATACTTAAAAAGAATGATTTGCAGGCAAAACCGAATCGTTTATATATCAGTCAAATTGTTTCTAAAACTAAATTTAAATCTATAAAAAGTATTCAATACCTAGAGTAATGTTGTACATGTTTCCAAGATGTCTCAGAAATATTGAAAGTCTTTGTTCCGTTTCATCTACTCTTGCCCACGAAGTTAAATATATCTGGTTTAATGGCAGCCCTCTAACAAAAGCGGTCCTCAAATCATTTCCTCTTAAAATCGTTGTACAAAGATAAGCTCCTACAGTCGCCAGCGGGCACTTTTCTGAAAACTCCATCCAAGCGTCTGATCGAATTTCGATTCCTCTAATGTCCCCTTCCAAAACAAGAGAAAGGTTTACCAAATGCTTAGGTAGTGTGTTAGCAATATTCCTTAACATTTCACTGCTCAAATATCTGTAATTAATATGAAGCTCTTCTAATGCCAGGAATTTAGCCATTGCATTCACGTATCTTTGTGTACGAAATGGAAACATATTTGTTTCAAAAAAGTCCTCCATATACAACGTCTTGACTGTGTTTTTAGTTCTGCCTTTTGCAAGAGCCTCTAAGATCCTACAACCGTCAATTAGTCTCATTCTTGTACCGGCCATATACACACATTCTAAGAATTTTTGTTTCCGAATCATTTTGCTTAATGCTGAAACTACCCTACCTCTGGACAAAATGAAATGCCAGTGTTGTTCCATGTGCAAACTTTCTAGGTCCAAGTCGCGAATTTGGATGTCATTTCGACTACAGATTCGGTTCAAGTATTTTTCTACTGATCTTGATATTGTTAAACATGACTTAAATGTTGGTCTTCCTAGATTTAAAGTCAGTCTGTACAGACAATGTCCAAACTTTTCAAGGAATTTAATCTCCCTTTCTGCCGTCTCCTCCGATGATTTTGCGTTGAAAACAACACGTCTGTGACGCCATAATTTTGCAGAAGAAAATAACCTGTTCCAGTTTTTACAGGTGCATGCAATATTTAGCCTATCTTGGTCCGGAAGACTTGAATAAATCAAAATTAGAGCAATATCGGGTATGCCATTCCAAGAAATGGGCGCCGCCATTTTGTTTCACATTTTGCTGTCGCTAAAATGACGTTGACGTCATGGTAGGCCTACTATTTCCCGGTTTATTTTCAAAACGTCAATTTTCTTTTTGATGAAGTTTATAAGATCACGAAATTATATGGAGAGAATTACAATTGTTTAAATTATCTTTAAACATGCGCTCTTAAAAAATGTTATTTTGACCGTAGGATAAAAATAAGAATAATAAAAAAAATAAATGTTAAATATTTGAATTGGACTTCCTTAACTATTAAAGGGAGACACAGGCAAAATTTTATTTTCTTCGTTTTTGAATTTTTCATTCATCAATCTGTTAATGTCCTCAAAATATATATACTATAGGCAGTCACAGGAACAATATTTTTCTCCTTATCAAGAATAAAATGGTGGTTTCCTTACTTGACCCACGTGGGTCAGGTTAAAGCGTTAAGATTTCACATTAGTTGTCCCAGTGAACTCTGGAAACGTTAAAGAACACGTCAAATGAATGATTTAGGTTTGTGTCAATCATAAAATATCCACAATATCTGATATTATAGCATAAAATCGGCTATTATTCCCTCTTTTGCCCATGTTATAACGGGACCAAAACCATGTGTTAACATAGTCACGCGCTCTTGTTATAGCCCGGTTTCACCTATGCGCAATACATACAGGGCCCAGTAAACAAACAAACAAAAAATGACGATGTGGACTGTTTGCCAAAGAGTCATGCGCTCTTGTTATATTGAAATTTATTGATTCGAGGGCCTCAGTCGCATATTCAAGTAACTATGCCGGAAAAAAACGGCGTATAGACATCGGTGCTAATCTTGGTTGTCGCCCTTTCTAAGAAACGGACAGTTGTCAATGTAAACAAATACAGTAGAATCTACCTGTCATTCAGTTTAAAACTCTGATTAACTTACAAAACTAGATAACACAAAATTAATATGAGAAAATGTTTTTATTTATGTTAATGTTGATAAATGCTTTTTATATTTCTTTGAGAGAATAATGCTTAGTGCCTGATTTTTTTTATAAACTTGTTTGCTTGAAACAAAAACCGATTCTGATGTCACTGGTCCTTTTTCTACCGTCAATCTGAAATCATTCTAAGAATTTCTGAGGGTCATGTTTTGTCTTGGGTAGAGGGTAGAGTAATGTGACGTTTTTTTATGAGATAATAAATCTCCAAAGGCCAAGCTTTTAAATCAATTAAAATTCAAAATTTCGTTCGGTTCCGAGAATTTTCCAAGTTGTTGGCCCCGGAAAAATGAAACGCATACGTAAAACATAGAATTGGATAAATACCGTCCAAGCACAAGAATTTAATGTAATTGTGTTTTGTATAAACTATACATCACGAATCTGTTTGAAAATTTTATGCTATAATAGCGTCAACGCACGTTTATTTCGTGTTATAAAGTCTGCAGAGTCCCTCGGAACTGTTGGAGCCCTCGCCCTACCGGGCTCGGGCACCAACCGTTCCTCGGGACACTGCAGACGTTATAACACGGAAAAACGTGCGTTAACCCTATATTGTAACTTCCAGGGTTTGTTCTAGTCACATGACTAGATTTAAAACTACTCGGTGATTCTGTCGGCGGCTAAATTTCGTTAAATATTTATAGATAGAGGATATTGAATGAGTATAAGTTCAATACTGAATTTATTGCACGAGTTGAATACAATTATATTATGCGAGCCTCTGGCGAGCATAATATTATTTTATTCAACGAGTTCAATAAATTCAGTAATGAACTTACACGATTTACTATTCTATTTATCACAGACCCCAAATAAAGACCGTTTAAAGTGAAAAAAGAGCCATTTTTCATTGACGCGCCTATAGTAAAACGCTCACATTTAGCGCGTCTTTACACTATGTTTGTCTAACGCTAATGACGTCACGTCAAAATATATGCACGGCCGTGCAATACCATTTTTACGGAGTCGCAAAATCGGCACGGTTGTGTGATAAAATTTACGCTTCAAACTCAAAATAAATAGATTTTATACCGAAATTCATGCTTGGACTTTTACAAATGTCATTTTAACGTGATTTGAGTACAGAAGATAATTTTGATATTTTTGTAATTAATTTGCCCGAGTATCCCTTAAAAACATCTCACGTATACAGTCTTTTAGTTAAATAATTGAAATTTTTAATGCTATACATACGGAAATGTTTTGAAAAATTTAGTACAATACATATGAATTCATTCTTACGTGTTAAAATTTCCACGCTTTATACCTTCAATGGACTTTGTCCATCTTTCAATCTGGACAAAAACGATGGGAAAATTTCGAAATATGTTTTGACTGGTTAGCGAACAGTGCAGACGACATGGATGTCTCTGTTGATCTTGGTCTCATAGGTGAAACAGTTTCAGCAGCAGACCTTAGGTTAAGAGACCCGTTCTTACCCTTTTTCTTTCTGCATGGTCAGTTATTACATATGGCGAAGAAAGTCTGGGCGGCGGAAAAAAGAGCTATCTTATAAACTTAAATCGCAAAATCTCTTCAAGTTAGAATTAGAAGTTCCTCTTTTCAAATCTGATCAATCAAGTCTATGACTCAAACTGGGTCCAGGCAGGGTAAAGGTGAATAATTAATGTTGAACTGAGAGTGTATAAACGTTGGAAATAAACAAATACATAATTTCTAAAACATTTCCACATAGAACTTTCTGACTTTATTCTTGTTAATTTTTCGTCGCTTTCCCAACTGTCTATGTACAGTTAATATGGTGCCTTAACGATTTTACAGCGGAAAATTAATTAGTGTAAGGGGAAGGTACTAATATGTTTTTTATACAAATATGATGGCAGAATCTACGCTAACTTTGGAATTCACCGGATTTGATTACGTAGGTAAAAGTAACATGATTTGATTCCAGATTGTGATAAAATAGCATTTATATTGCGCCATATACTGTAAGAAATATACAGTTAATTAAAACTTATCAATTGATTCAAATTTTTAAAAAATCAGATAGCTTCAAAATTTAACACTTTCTGATTACTGCACGCTATAAAGTGATATAATATAAGAAGAATGAGCAAATAAAATTTTCTTTCTTATTATGTATTTGAAAATAAAGCAAACACAATAAAAAAGTATTCGTGTAAAAGTATTTTATTTGCTAAAAATCTTGATATTGTTATAATATACATATATATGTTATGAATATAATCTATTCATGAAAATATATTTTTTGTTTTGTAAAAAAGTATGTATATACAAATGAACATAATTATATTTTAAAAACGAAGGGACAACTCTTCATATTTACTCACTGGCGCTCTCTTTAAACACGCAAACCTAATGTGTGAAAAGAAATAATCATGTAAGTGTATTTTCTACAAATGAAATAAAAACAATATCAATGTACTTTTCTGCACAAGTAACATTAATCATCCAGTGCTAACATTATAATAAATTGTGTCAAGCAATATAAATCATGAAAAATAAAATCTTTCATGTTAAACGACAACTTCTATACATTTTTTTTTAAAAAGAAAAAAAACTTATAAAAATATTATCTTATTAAGTGCATAACACGTAAGAAATGAAACAATACATGTGTTTTTCAATAAAAGAACGCTTGTTCTGTAAGCATATAAAAATCCCTCTAAAATCAGGATTAACATCCTCTGTCGCTACTGCTCTACACTCATACAAAACAGATAACCACGAAATAAACGGGACTTAGTTTCGGAAAACGAAACAATAAATCAAATACAGTGAAATCAAATGAGTGAAGGGCCAATACTGAATTAATTGAACGAGTTGAATGTAATTTTATTATGCAAGCTTCTGGCGAGAATAATATATTATTTCATTCAACGAGTTCAATAAATTCAGTAATGAAGCTACAAGAATATTATATTTTATTTATCACATATCCAAAATAGAACTGTTTACAATAAAAATTGATCACTTTTTCATTGACTTGCTTATAGTGTGACGCTAACATACGCTACTTTTACATTATTAGTGATAAAGATTGTTGACAGGTTATATGGCCCTATATAAACGGTGGTTTGTAAATATAACCCGAGCAGCCAGGCGAGGGTTATATTGCAAACAAACGTTTATATTCGGCCATATAACCTGTCAACAATCTTTATAACGAATTTATAAAACTGCAAACTTCCTTTTTTTAAGAAAAAAGTGAGATTTCTTTATTGAAAGCAGTCGTGTATTTAAAACTATATTAACGTTATAATTATCAAATTAAAATCGACGTTACAAACGTGCAGTATTATAAAATGAAAATGACGTCATGTCAAAATGAACGATAAAAGTAATAACTCAAATGAAATTCTCTTGCGGCATTTACAGTGCATGCTAAAGTAAGAAACAATACATATGCAATTTATCGCATAACTCTCTTTTGGCAAAAAAATCAGATACTTCATATTTGCACATTCATAGAATATACAATATACATTTAAAAGCGCAAACACTGACCCATTGCAAAATAAAGATCACACATTTACACATAGTACGTCTGCCACTTCGATCGAAATTTATTTTCCTTTTAACCGTACCAAAAAATCAGGAATGATTTTCGAAACCGTATTTTCAACAAAGATCATTTTCTAGCATAAGCTTTTTATACAGGTTCCACTGTATATGTTCTTTTCTACTAGATTATATGCAAGGGAAAGTACTTGTATTGACATTTTATGAAAACTGAATTGTATTATCTCCCCTTCCTTATTAAGCGAATCAACTTCCTATCTTGGCGCAAAAATAATAGTAAGAATCCGTTTAAAAATTAGTAAAAATGTGAGCAATATAAAAAGAGTTAATTTGCAAAATGCCAGGTCATGTTTTAATGAACAGCCCATTCTGACAAAATGTGTGTATTATCGGAAGGTTTCCTAGTTAGTCTTTAGACTTAATCATATTTGATACTTTGACCCAATAAAGACCCATGCAGGGTTTAAGTTTGATTACTTGTAGACAAAAATGCATTACTTGCTGAATATCATTATTGAAGGACGGATAAGAAAACTAAAATTAAAGATAAGGTATGGGGAAACTAATTTATCGTGCCTGCTTTGTGTCAAAAACATTCTTTTTTTCCTACAGCACCCACGAAAAAACATCATTGTAGATATAAGTTCAGCAAGCACTCTCCGTACGTGCAGTACATTAAATAAACATGACCAAGGTTAATTTAAAAAACGGTTTTGATAAAGGAAACCGTTTGGATATGTTGATATACTTGCAAAACGTATTTCAGTCACTGCATTTATTTTCGTCATTCACAGCCAGTAAAATGCTGATTAGAATATCATTCAAATTTGCATGAGCTTAATATTTGTATTGTTCGTATGGTCTGTACATATTGTCTGCGGGACGTGAACTAGAGTACCCTGCCCTATCGTATTTATCGTAACCATTATCGTAACCCTTAGTGTATCCTCTATCGTAACCTCCTCGGTCGTAACTGTAATCGTAACCAGCATTGCTGCGACCATAGTCACGTGGTGGGTAGTCACGTGATGAATGTGAATAGTCTCTTCCGGTGTCGCGGTACTTTTTTGAACTAGAAAAATCCCTGCTTTTATCGTATCGCCTGTCATAATCGTAATCCCTGCTAGAGTTATCGTATTTTCTCGGACGATCGTAAGACTTGCTGAGGTTTGACATCGGCTGTTCTTGTAATTCTTCGGATTCACCGTCACTCTCGTGATATTTGCCAAGTCTTTCCCATTTACATGTTACATACATGATAATAACAGCACCAAGCACGGCTAAAAATCCCCCGATTCCGAAACAAAGTACTGACCAGGGGAAAGTTTCGGCATTTATTTTAACTCCTGCTATGAAGTCGAAGTACAGACCGATTCCAACGGCAGTTAGTACCGAGATAGTTATTGCCAGTAACCCTGAAATAGATAAAAACAAAAATACATTATGAGTATGTCCCATAAATCTTACAATTAAACAAAAGTCAAAATTAAATCTGATTTTTGAATAAGTTAATAATTAAGGACCAATCTTAAAATTCCTTCCTCTTTTAGAAACAAAAGTTGTATAAGAATGTCTCATAGAATTTTGAGCAAAAAAATGGAAGCCTTAATATCATAAACGGTATATGTACAGCGTTATTTCAGAATACAAACTTTTATATCGAAGGACAATAAGTTATATTTTGATATATTTTTTTTAAGAAACTGTCTCGCACTTGTTCACCTTTATAAGCCTTTAATGCATGAAAAACGACTTAGTAATATGATACTAGCTTTAACTTAAACAAAACACTACTAGTTCAATAAAACAATCCAATAAAAAAAAATTCCCCAAGTAAATTCCGAAGCTAAAATTAAACAACCAGTCACATTTCTCTCTGTTTCCCTTTATTGTATAGCAAGTCCGATAATTGTTTATTTAAAATAACTTTAACATAAACATACATAAATAATGTTCAATATATACTTTATAAAATAAAACCAAGCTAGATTACTTTAAAACCTACCTATTTCAAACTACTAACTGGTTGAAATTGATCAATGTTAATTTTATTGTGATTGAAAATTCACATATAAAATATAGACTGCTAAAAAAAATTGTTTCTCATTAAAATTAACGGGTGTGAATAATGTTCATTCAATCGTCATTTGATATATAACAAGGCTGGGAATATATCACTTATAAAATATATCGCTTATATTTGAGTTTATGCAAACATTTTAATTACACTGATTTTTGTTATAAGTTACAGAAACTCTGTAAAGATCATAATTCATGACGATTGTCTAGATTTAGCCGTGCAGCAGGTATTTCAGACACGTGCGTGAGGTCGAGTAGAATCTCAGACCTCCGCAAACTGGCTTGATGGCTATATCAAATGTAATAACCAAAAGTCTTTGGTGGGATTTAAACTCTCAGAGATGAAAAGCAAATGATTTTAAGTTAGCGAATTTAACCGTTTATTATGAAGCCCCGGCCCCCTCCCCTTCCCTCCTATATTGTTGTTAATGATTCTGAGAGAAAGGCTGCAATGCTATGATAAAGTTAATTGACTGAGGAACAGTTCCATGTTTATAATTTCATTTGGGTTTCTTTTAATTTGATATTTTAAATCAGAAAAAAAACCTGCTGTGAACCTCTCCGTTGCAAGTTCAGCAAATAAGTGTGAACAAAACGATAAGAAAAAGTCCTGAATGGTTTGGGCTTAAGACAGACTTCTATATTTTCGAAAACTCGAGTCAGTATTACATGTACATTGTGCATGTATATTTCCTATATACATTTTTCATTTTCATATTTTAATGATGAGGTGTCCGGTATATACCGGATATCAGATTAAATAAGTTTATCAGGTTATCAACCGTAATCAATGTCATGCGAACAAAATTCAACTTTTGTGCATAATTTACATGGCCAAACTTTGTCTATTTTCACAATAAATTAGACTCAACAATTTTCGTTTAGAGTCCTTGAAATAATATCTACCTTCGCAAACTTAATATTTTCAAGCACCGAACATGTAAAACTTTCGAATGGTTTACAGTATAGCATTAAATTTCAAACAGCGAAATCTTCTCTATCCTTTTCATAAAGTTTTCTATTGAATGTATTCTAAAGCACCGATGCTGAAAATTGGGATAACGCTATGTATTACTAATATAAATGAGCCGCGTCATGACAATACCAACATAGTGCGTTTGCGACCAGCATGGATCCAGACCAGCCTGCGCATCCGAGCAATCTAATCAGGATCCATACTGTTCGCTTACAAACCCTATTACAAGTAGAGAAACTGATAGCGAACAGCATGGATCCTGATGAGACTGCGCGGATCCATGCTGGTCGCAAACGCACTATGTTGGTTTTGTCATGACGCGGCTCAAATACAATTTAGAAAATGTTGATAAATGATAACCTATCGCATATATTTACAAAAATGTACTATCCCATTGGTATGAAAAAAAATTGATAGGATAATTATTTGTTTAGTTTGTACCACAACCAGGCATGTATATTTATTCATAAACAAGAGGCATGCATATTTTCTATCACAAAGAGGCATATGTTTTCATTCATAATGAAGTCATTATTGCATTTGAGCCGCGTCACGACAAAACCAACATAGTGGGTTTGCGACCTGAATGGATCCAGACCAGCCTGCGCATCCGCGCAGTCTGATCAGGATCCATGCTGTTCGCTATCAGTTTCTCTACTTGTAATAGGGTTTGTAAGCTTACAGCATGGATCCTGATCAGACTGCGCGGATGCCCAGGCTGGTCTGGATCCATGCTGGTCGCAAACCCATTATGTTGGTTTTGTCATGACACGGCTCATTTTTCTTAAGCTCCTGTAACTCAAATTATTATGGTTTTATATCATAATTATGATGTTCAAATAAAGATTTATCAATATTGTAAGTTATTTGTAAAGATATCACCAAATTTACATTTCATGTAAATAAAGGGAGGTAATTAGAAATTTTTCGATAAAGTCTTAAGCCAAATTTTTCAATAAGAAATGAATGTATATATTTCAATGATTACTTATAATGCGAGTAAACATTTGCAATACATATTTAACATATTCTTCGATGTTTGAAAATTATTTTAGAAGAATAATTATATACATACGTGTATATAAAACATACGTGTATATAAAATGTCATGTGTTGTGACATCCTTAATTACAACATAAAGGATTTTTTAAATTTCTAAAATATGTGCAGTCTTTTTTGTTCTTCAAAAATTCGTTTCAAAATTTATACATCATGTACTTAAAGTACATGTATAGTATATCGGTGTCAAATTCAAGCTTCCATGACACATATATGTTGATTTCGAAACAAGACCCCTACATGCCCGAATCAACTTACAAGTAAATAAAATGACAGTCGGAAATGTGATATATACACAAGAACGGAGGTGACATTTTCACTTCATGTATTTCAGGATTTAAATTTTACGAATTAATACTTTTCACTTTCACGAATTCAAGATTTCATTTTCATGAACTTGCGTTTTTCATGAATAAAAAAAATCAACTTCACGAATAGAAGTTTTTTCGACTTCATGAACTTACGGTTTAAATTTCATAAAATTGTATTCGTGAAGATGAATTGTTCCAAATTCGTGCATACTTTGAAGTTGATATCATAAATTAACGAAATAAATATGTCAACATCGCGAATTCATAAACTTGAATCGTGAAATTGTTAAGTTGTAAAAAAACGAATTTATAAAATTGTGATGTCCCTACCCATGTTTATTGTCAATAATCATCAAAGAACGTACAGTGTTTGGTTTGCTTAGGGGTAATTTCAATAGTTAATTAATTCATCAAGAAAACTGCTGACTGAGCAGTTTGTTTTGTTTGTGATTGTTTCATGATAATAAAGCTTCATTACATTCTTAATTGATTTGTCAATGAGGTAAGCGAGTCAACATCGAGATTTGCGAATTAATTCAATTCAATTCAATATTTTATCATTTAAACTTTACTTTTCTTTTACAATCGTAGCTAAGACTATCACATAAGGATATAAACAATTATTCATTAGCCTGATATTAACATGTTACATAATTTGAATATTTTTAGTCTGTAGTGATATAAATCCAAACAAATTAATATGGTTATATACAGAAATACACATCAACTACACGCACAGTTTTTCAGTGCCTCAAAAAACGTAAAGCCACGTCATTTACACGTACGGTTTTTTTAGCACTTCAAAAAACGAATATGACAAGGAACGCGACAACCCTGGATAGAGATTGAAATGAGATGTTACAAAAGAGGTCAAAGTTTTGAACCTGAATGGAAACCTGATTACAACTTTTCAACTCTTTTCTTCATAATCTGATAAAAAGATGATCATTAGGAACTTGTACCATGTATTTTGACGGGAAGGACGGAAAGAGGTAGAGGGTGAGGTTAAAATTGCTGACGGATAATTTGTATGCATATAAAGGCCCTATGTTTAACATATTTCAAAACTTCGATAAGAATGAAAATGATTACCTCCAAAAAATTCTAGGATGGCAGAAATTATGAAGAATCCTTTGGAGTGTATACCAGCACATCGGCAACATATCAGGATCAGAGTGGCAAGAAGTACTAATCCTAAACCAACGGTTGTTACTATCTGTAAAACCCACCACCATACCGCGCTGCCTGAAAATATATGGGAAAAAACGTGTAAAATTTTGAATTGTTATACCCATTTGCATGGTTATATAATTATACTCATATAAATTTTCAAACGCTTCCTTTGAAAAGTTAAGTGAGCTAATCTTACACGTACTCATAAGTCAATCTTGAAACGCACTCTTGAAAAGAAAAATAAAGGCGAAAACTGTTGGAATTTTATCATAGATTATGCGGAAATATATAGAAAAAAATGAAAGTGTGTATAAAAACAAACACACACAAAAAAAGCAAAAGAAAAAACAAAAGGAAGCAAAACAAAAGCAAAAAAACAAAACAAAAAAATCTTCAAAAAAAGTTCATTTACAATGTATATAATGGTGCGGGTACAGAAAGGGCTTATTTTCAATTTGAAAGAATGTAAATAGTTTTATAAAACATCTATGTGATGTCCGTATCGCCATCTAAAGAATTTTGTCAGCCATTCAACCTAGGCATGCGTTTCAACTTCATTTCAATTTGTTGACACAATTAAAACTTGTAGTTGGTTTCACTTTTTATGACACTGGCTTCGGGCAGACAATGTTAGCAGACGAGACCATAGACCCAAAAATCTGATCACTACTGATCTGGCCAGTACTGTTATTTACAGAATTACCATGAAGACATTAAGTGGTCAGTGTGGCTGATTCACAGCATGGGGGCAATTAATATCCCATTTCCATCTGATAAGCCCAAACCAGAAACTAATGATGGTACTTCTGTTTACATAAATACTAATACAAATAAATTGCTGGCCTCTTGTTCACATTATTTTGTTGAATAGCAGGTTTAAGTCTGTTTTCTTTTTATATGATAATTGTTTTCATTTTAAAACACAGTGGAAGGCAAATATGAAAAGGTAAGATACTTATTTATTTACTGTTCGAATTAAAATGTATACTCAGTAACAAGCATTAGTTTATACATGTCTAGATCGGAGAAATAATTCGGTCATTTAAGATAAAACATACATTGAAAGTAAAGTGCTGCATTTGTATTTAAGCAGTTTTGAGTGCTCATTATATTTACGTTAATGAATAGATTTAAGGCTAACTTATGTAACAGGCACTGGGGCTTCCTGTAATAATATGAACTTTGTAAATACCACTCAGGACAAATTTTTCTATTTGTGTTTTTTTTTTTGTCAGAAATTAGTTTGAAATTTATTTCCATTGAATTGGCAGTCAGTTTTACAATCAAGAAAAAAATACATATATAAAAAATCATTTGTTTAACGTTTACAATTATGTGATAAGAAACTATTGAAATTTAGCCTTGTACAACAACCTATTTTACTGAATCAAATTATTGTAGAACCTTTCAAACTATCTATAGGTCACCGTTTCTATCTAATTTTATTAGAACTTGTTCAGAGTAGGAGCTTTGTTAATAGACCATCTACATTTATTACATTTACCATAAAATATTATTAATGAAATATGTATAAACAGTCAATTCAGTCCAATGTCACAACAATGTGTCTGTTGTTAACGGCATCCGTCTATGTGTCCATTTAGGCACTACTTCTTATCAACCATAGGTTATAACAAAATATAAGTTATTGAAAATAGTCGCTTTTAAGTTTTACTCAAACTTTAAGGTTTCTTTTACAGGTTCTCATCAACGGGTTATCATGAAATTTTCTCAAACCTTCAAGATCAACAAAGATCAGAATACCAATGAGAATTTTATATTCATTGAGGATGTTTATAGTGTCCTTAGCAGAAGTGGAGACAATATTCAGAAAAGTAATTTAAAACACGCTCTCAAATCTTTTCAGGGTGGTTCAAGAACATTTCTAGGCAAACAATGTGCCACAGTATTGACAGTTTTTAAATATTTATGCCAACATAATACAACCAATTCCTGTAAGAAGATACTTAAAATAGCATTCACTTTATGCCTAGGTGGAAATGACTTCATACCAAAGTTCCTTGCCATATCCCATGAAACTGTATTGAAATATGTGATTGACAACGCCAATTTTAGAAATAATTTGTACAAAGCGGTTGAAGGGAAATGTGTCCTTAATAAAGAACTGTTCATCGAGTTGATAAAAAACCTCTACACTCCAAAACGACTTCAAAATTCAAATGTTTCCTTCGATGATATTCGAGCTATCACCATTGGTAAAAAGGAAGACGCCAGTCAAAAGGCAGGTTTTAAAACGGCTAATCCAAAGAAATGGCTCCCACCACAGTCATCAATTGAAAGACTCGCTGAACTTATGCAGTTACAAATTTCGTATATGGAAACAGTTGGAAGTCATAGCAGTGTGCTACCCAACTTTGTTGAAAGTGGAGTTTTGAAAAGGAACTCATGTGGTGAAGTTGAGTATGACTTTGGGCCTGAAGCACACTTTGTGTCTCTCTGTGACCTCCCAAATATTAAACAGAAGAAATCAAAACGTCAGCTTGATGATACACCACAACACAGTGCACGTAGAAAGAGACCACTTACATCAATCCCAAGGTCAAAATAAAAACATCTATAAAACAAATTGATTTTTTTCAATTTGTCTGTATGCTTTACTCAAATGCAGTTATTTTTGTTTCCTGGTTTTGGGATTCATTTTTTTCATGACAAATTAAATTCTTCAAAAAGGTTAAAAATGTAAGAATGTGAGTCACGGAAAATCATCTCGGTTTTACAAAAATGCTATTTAATATAGCATACTTTCAGTTCTTTGAATTATCTGGCAAGCTTATTTGTGTGGTGGTTTAAGCTGCTATTAATAACAAGCTTAATATTTATTGATGATGTACATGTATTTATTATAAATTCATGATTTTCACACAGGTTGCGAAAATAGTTTTATTGTGTTGATTTGAATTTTCAAAGAAGAATCAATCAGGTACTTGCAAACTCTTCAGACATAGACATTAATATTTGTTTTACTACATTTGTTTGGAATGCGGCATGCAGTACTACTGATTTATTGATTTGTTATATCAGTTTCCTTAACTGCATCTTTGTTTACTTATTCTAAACTGTAAAATACCTACAACTTTCTGTATTAAATCATGCATGTATTTTAAAACTGTAAAACTTAATGTAACACTATGACAATTAATGGCTTTGTTATTATATTTGTAATCAGTTGTTAAATCTATATAAAACATATTTCACAGAATCAACATTATTTTCATTCCTTAGACCTTATCTTATGTTGAGGTGAAATCAATCCACACTGACCACTGGTAAATGGCCATATTGTTTCTGATATAATGCACCATGGACAGTTTATAGTTCACGCCAGGGTTATAATAAGATATCCTGCAGAGCAGTAATTTAGATAAACAGTTACCTTCTACTAGGGAATTTCTGGCAAATGTGGGCCTATATTACAGAGTGTTAGTAATATAATACACTTGGAATGTCAAGGTGAATGACCATTTTGATGATGAAGATAACGACACCATTCTAAAAATAGAATCTCGTTGCTAATTTCACGCGCTGTGATCGCGAATCATGTGAACTTTCGGTTGATAAAGAAAACCTTGAATAAATCCCGTTCAATGAAGTGTATATCCATTAAAATGGACGAATGTTTAATAAATCATAAATTGGAGGAAAAGACGTTATTCTTAACCGATTACAAGTGAATAAAAACTAATTGAAGTTCACATCGTACAAATCGATGAACTATAAAAGGTATGGTTAACTTTTTTCCCACAGGCTCTACATAAAATGTTGCAATCGTTAACAACTTTCCTTCATGAAAAGAAGAGAGAAAAAAAAAGATTGTTTGTGCTCATGAAATCTTTAGAATGAGTAGGCATAGATAAAAATCTATTGTGTTTAAACACGACTCCTTAAAGTAATTAACCAATTCTCTAAAAGAACCAATTTTGTAAACCTTCATTGTTGTTCTGCAGACTCCTAAATAAGTTTCTTATATAAAATCCGAGCTTTAGTCAGATTGTGTTATCTTATGTAGTCATTTTTGTTTATTCTAATAAAAATGTTCTGGGGTGCATACATACATAATAAAAAATATTATACAATAAATGCACGATGCTGAAAAAAAGAAAAGACGTGAGAATGACGCAAGCTAGGCAATCCGCTTCTTCAATAAATTTCCAGTGATCCCTTTTTTTCTAAAATGAAATATATCTTCTTTTTCTTGCCTTATCATATGTTATTGAATGGTTAACCTATCATATAGTGTTTGTTGTTATTATTCAATAAAATCATTCGGACTTTGTGATATTTCATCACAACGCTTAGACCTGAGCTGAAACCATGCAATATTAAACGATAACGCACTCAAAGTTAAATTCTATATTCTAAGCTATTTACTCTACTGATTCAAAAACAAAATGCATATATGAAGAGTTGCAGTAGAAAATATCAGTGGCTAAGTAATTAAGTTAAACTTGAAAAGTAAATGATAAAATAAATTAGAATACAGCCAAATATTCACTTTGTTATACTGGAAAATGAAATTGGTGTTGTGTACTTAACTCAGTCCAAAATAGTCCCCCAAAAAAAAAATAATAAAAAAATAAAAAAGCCAACCTAGTGTAGCAATATTTAAGAAAAAAATATTAACAAGATAGACAAATCTTTAAAAAAGATTGTTTTGTTTTTGTACGAATGCGGCTCGTCAGGTAAGTAGGTTATACAATTACAAGTGAGTCATTTGGCGTGAAATGTTTTAAAAGCATGCCCTCTAATGTTGACAAAGTGTTAATGACATTGAGATGGGCTTCAGGCAATCTTCGCCAGATTTTATCTCTTTGTAACATTTACTGCATTAAACACTAAAACGCACAATTTAATGGTTTGCTAAGTAATGTTTCACGACAACGACTTCAGACAAATCACGTGTGAACGTGCCATTACGGGTTTTATAGAGAAAGTCGTAACTAACTCCAGTTACATTACGGTACATAACCGTATGAACAAACAAGAGCTGTCACAGGAGACAGCCAAGCTCGACTGATAAAATACTGGACACAGTAAGGAGGACAAAACTATGA